CGTTCTCTTTGATCTCGAGCGACGGTTGTAAGAACTGTTGCTGCTTGCTCGCCACCCATGACAGATATTCTTGCATTAGGCCACATGTAGAGGAACCTGGGACTGAGAACAAAAATCGTCATGTGATCAATCACGAGATTCTAACTTGAGACTTGGACCAAGTCTTAAAATAAAAAAAAAACAATTAACTTTACACAAGATTTTTAATCATTACGTAGTCAGAGTCCTGAGTGGGAGAACCGTGCCCTTGCTGCGGTTGGTCCGTACCGCATGACTTGGACTAGCAAAATATTTTCGTATATGGCTTGACCTTACCCAGTCAAGAAGCATTTTATCTTCTGATCCAATTAAACTACTTTTTCCGACGTTTTTTTCTTAAGAGTGCGAAATTACGGTTTATATGACAAATTTTGATTCTTTATGGCAACAAATTCTTGATTGACCAACCACGCGTAAAAAGAATTGATTAGAAGACGGCATCTTAGGTTCTGGGAAAACAATCGGAGGCTCCTCTCAGTCAGCGTTTTCACAAGACTGCAAGTGGGTGTTTGTGATTAGTTCAAATTCTACAAATTTACCCATATGCTCTTCCGCACATGCCATAATTTCCTGCTCCAAAGCTGCCTCCAACAATGACGGTAATTTTAGGAACCTTCGCACAAGAAACRGCCATCACCATTTTGGCGCCATTTTTAGCAATTCCTCCTTTTTCGTACTCCCTTCCAACCATAAACCCTATTGACGGTAAAATAATAAATATGAAATATAAATCAAATGAWATTTGCATTTACATAGAGTGTACTTATTGAAAGCTTGAAACACTTCAGTATTAATAGATTTTGATAAATAGTGCTAACCGACACAAGGCTAAAACACCCACCCACACAAAAAAACAATAAGCAATGTTTAGCGACGCCATTTTATTCAGCAATGCATATAGTGGGAGGTGTATAGCACTAAAGCAGTATTTTAAGCCCCAAAAATAAAAAAAAGAAAACATAAAAGCGGCTTTTAGATATAATTTTTAGGGCCTACAAAGATTGTGAGGACTACAACTCTCGTCAACATGCTTTGCTGTACAAAATGTCGTCGTTGTACATTGCCTTTAGCATAGCATAAAACAAGGAATTACACATTTTTAACACTTTTACTGCAGAAATACACTCTTATTTCATTTCAAAAGGTTGCAATACTCAATTGCATCATTTATAACTTCATAACATCAATGTCGTTGGAGAAGCTGGACGGAGGCCTTAGGCACGACTGGGTGCGAAGTCGTTCAGTAACGGTAATATCAATGTCAACAAAGTTGACAAAAACCTTTCCAGTAACATCTCATCTACCGGATTGTTAAAATGGAAGGAACTAGCGGCAAACTAGTGTGAGCTGCGTCAATGTTTCTAAAGAAACAGTTGATGTATAAAAAGATAAATTTAACACCGTAAAAAAGTAGCTGAAACAACTTACTGAGACATTTCGGATATTAATCCTTCGTAGGAGTAAAATCTACGGTGTTACATTTATCTTTTTACACAACTGGATTGTTATATTATCTTTACCTGTTATATTTTGTAGAAAGAGAAGTGGTATCTTCCTTTTACAGCAAAGCTCAATAAAATGTGTCCCTTTAAGTGCAGACTCCGAAAACAAAACCCCATTATTACCAATGATTCCAACTGGATAGCCATGGATGCGCGCAAAGCCTATAGGGAAAGTTTGGGTTCAATAACAAAGCATTTTTATAATRGCTACATTTAACGATTATTTTGAGAGAAGCCAAAGCCATTAACCATTTKCAAACAGTACTTGAGTAGCACAAGACAATCCAGGCAATCATTTGTCATTGGAATGTTTTGTTTGCATACCTGTGACCAAAGTGCTGCCGTACATGGCTTTAAACTCATCAAATTTACTTCCATCAACTATTCTAGCAATCACCTGAAGTTTAAGTAATAATAAACAGAGTCAAAACCTGTATAATGTACCATATTCTTCTTTCCATCTTGATTTAAAAGATTGTGTCATTTGTGGAAGGAAATCCATAAACAAAAAACGAGCACCAAAATTTGACAAAAATGGATTACCTCACGAATGTCATATGATTTCTTAAGGTCTGTTCCCACAATGCCATATATATCTTCGGGGGCATAATGGGGATCTTCAGGGGTCTGGAGGGTAACCTGTAAAATTATGAAATTTTCAGTAACTGTTCTTTGACAAAGCTTTAGAGTTTGCAGTTATATATTATTGCACTCTCCTAAACTATAACATAGTTATTTACCGGGAGGGTTTTCTTGTAGTTGAGRTTCTTGACACAGTTCCTTGCTTCATGAAGAGCATGTAAGTCATTGATGGCATAGTGGTCTGTTACACCTGATGTACTGAAATCATTTACAGTCAATTCTGTCAATATTGTCAAATTATAGTAAGTGTTCTCATATGAATGGCTACTTATCAAATTGTCTACTAGGTTTTTCAGGTCAGTGTCCTCACTATAAATTACCGTACTTCACCAAAAAATATAACATATACCTAGTATCTGTCATACATGCAGATTTAGAAAAAAAGAGCCTGACTATAATACTACAAACAATACACTACTTACCTGCAGTGCAAATCAGCTCCACCAAGTTCTTCTGCACTGACTTTTTCTCCAGTCGCTGCTTTCACCTTATGATAAAAAACACACAGAAAATTACACTTTAGGTTGACTTCTTTACAGACAACATTGCTATGTGGGATTCCTTTGTTAAGTTGAAAAAAAACTGCTGGAGAAATTGGGATGGAGAAAAACAGTCAGAGGTGATCCAAAAAATCTCTTAACACAATTCACTATACTTTATCCACAAAGGAAGACAAAAGAGTAAGTTTCCTCTGGACACGTTCTGTGAATGACAGTTAATTAGAAGTCTTAATTTTCTGGATTTCATTTTTACTGGTGAAAAGTTTTACAGACCAATATTAACTACAAAGTATAGCCCTACATGTATAAAGTTAACTAATAAAAAGGGGACAGAAGGAAGGACGATTTGTGCTTACCAGAGGAGGTCCACCAAGAAAGATGGTGCCTTGTTGCTTGACAATGATACTCTCATCAGCCATGGCTGGTACRTAAGCACCYCCTGCTGTACAGGAACCTAAAACTACTGCTATCTAGAGAGATTTGGAAATGAAATACAATTTAAAGACAATTGAGACATGACTTAAAGACAGATTCATAGGATGACTTCCACATCATTTGAATCAGCTCCTAATGCTGATATTGCACTAACTACACTCATCACTTCATGTCCTATCAGATTTTGTCATGGAATTCACATTTTATCCAATGAATTTACCTAGTAGTATATATTAATCATATATCTCAGTTTAAAAGTCAAATATAGAGCCATTTGCATAAAACCATTTTTCAGATTTCCAGGAATTTTATCYGCATTCGTTGTAATGAAATCTGCATCTTTTGAAATTTTCATATTTCTGCAATGCAAATGGCTTTGATGCTGTCTTWATGCCTAGTTTGAAGTACAACTGAGCAATCTAATAATGGGACTGACTATACTATGAGGCCCTGTGCACTACTTGGTGCAAATTAGACCAGCAAAAGTAACTATACTAGGTACTGTAAACAGTGTTCAAATGTTACAACTACTGAAGGAAAAATTTAATGATTTTGCTGTAGCGTCATTATCATTATGGTATTATAGGCAATCATTTGGTAGTACATGTACCTGGGCAATACCCTTTGAAGACATCSTAGCTTGATTATAAAATATTCGCCCAAAGTGCATTTTATCTGGGAATACATCAGCTTGCCTGGGTAAATTAGCTCCTCCAGAATCAACTAATATTTGAAATAACAAAACGATATAAATTAATGCTCTATTTCAAAAAACACTCTCTTTGCTTTCTTTATTTGACTTATTGATCAGTTCCCTTAATCTTATGCCAATCACTTGTACAGAGTCTTTATACAAACATATCACAATAACCAAGRTTGCCTTTTTCAATGGGAAGCAGCAGCTATTTAAAATCATTTACAGTAGTTCCCAATAATACTTGATTGCTGTCTCACATCTCAGAAGCATTACAAGTCTTTTAGTCATTAAATGTGATTTCAAAATGACATGCTACCTAAGTAGACACAAGGCAACCGGTTTTCCTGTGCTATTTCCTGAGCTCTAAGATGCTTCTTGACTGTGATTGGATAGTAAGTCCCTCCTTTAACAGTTGGATCATTAGCAACAACCATACATTCAATTCTAGAAAAAAAAGCCAATGATAAGACTCTGGACATGGACCATATGTGAGTTTGAGTTTGTTTGATGTGTTGTTCTCTCCCTTGCCACGAGGGTTTTTTCCGGGTACTCCGTTTTTCCTCCCTCAGTAAAAATCAACATGTGAGGAGTGTTGTGTGCTAAAATACTTAATGTAGAGGTAGTGAGTGTGAGAGTACAGGGTCCGCAGTAATTGGCTCACGCTGTTGCGGTGTCCCTGCCAATACTGCCAATACTAGGGGCAAAGCTAATAAATTAAAATTAAAACTAATGATGATGACAGAGATTTTGATTTAATGCTAATATGAATGATTACAGCACGCAAGCAAGCAAGCAAGCAAGCAAGCAAGCAAGCAAGCAAGCAAGCAAGCATTAGCAAGTGTATTAGCACCAATTATTATGATGTCTGAAACTTTGTGTAACAAAATGGAGAGAATGCATGGTTGTACGTATAATTATGAAAACTCCAAGATTTCATCTCTTTTTCATATTAAAACTGACCCATTAATCGTTCCAATACCAGTAATGATACCACCA